CCCAGCCCCAGGTGGCCCCCGGCCAGGGGCACCAGGCAGGTTTGGGGAGGGCAGAGCTGGTGCTCACCGTTGCCCAGGCTCCACACACCCCGTGAGACCCAGCACAGGTGAGCACTGCTCTGGTGCACGTGGCCAGTGCTGTGGGCACAGGAATCGGGATGGCGGCACAGTGGCGGCCAAGCGGGCAGGAGGCGAGGGTGGTCCTGGCCACCACCCCGGGGCCCTGTGCAGAGCAGCACTGCTGGGGGGCCCTGTCCAGCTGTGGGGATTCACAGGGCAGCTATTTGTCACCCCCCCCCCCCACTGCAGCAGGGCCTTTGCCACCTGCTTTATTTGTCTCCCAGCCCTGACGTGGCACCAGACAGGTGTTAAACTACTTAATCACTTTAAAATTGTTTTAATTTTCTGTTTTGTATTGATCTCCACAGCACCAATTAATCAGCTCACTGGACCAGGCAGTTAGTACATTAAAAATTGTCAGCCATGCTGGGCAGCTTAGAAAATGTCAAAAAAATATCCCGGCAGCAGCCGCTCACTTCTTTCGCCGTGTGGATCCTGCTCTGGCCGAGCGTTGGCTCTGCCCACGGATGGTGACGTGGCTCTCCCAGCCCTGCCACGGGGCTGGGGTGCGTGGAGTACGCAGCCTCTGCCCTAGCCCTGTGTGACGTGCTGTCCATGGGACCTGGCCGCCGACATCCTTGCAAAGGGTCCATCAGCTCTGTCACCCCGCTGGCAGCTGTCAGAGGGGCTGCATGGCTGAGGGGGAAGCATTACAAGCCCCACACTCGCTGTGAGGCTGGACAAGGACCTGTGTGGGGAGATCAGTCTTCCCTAAGCCCTAGGAAAGTGCTGCCAAGCAGTCAGCCCTCCTTGCAAAGTCCCCCCAGCCCAGCACATGGCAAAAAGAGACAGACTGGAGAGGACTCAAAGCCAAATGCAGGCCTTGGGATCCAGGCAGACAGGTCGCAGGGTGATGCAGCCCCACACCACGGCTCCATGCCACAAGGCTGGTGCTCAGGGCTGCTGCAAAGCCACAGTGCTTCAGGGGGTTTGGCCAACCCTGGGGGTGGACTTGGCCAGCAGCCTGTCCTCAGATGCTGCCTGCAGCCAGGGAATAGCAGCTCGGGTTGTGGCCGCAGGGGACAGCAGCTTGGGTTGCAGCCCCCAGCATCCCCTCTGTGCCTGTGCCATGCTGCTGAACAGTACGTGCTGCCTCGGCAGGACCTTATCTCCTATTGATTTCCTCCCAAGGCATGGCCAGTCTGTTTGCTCACACCTGGCTGGCACTTAGTTGGTGATCGGCTGAGCGACTGCT